TCAGTGTTAATGTTACTATGGCATTAACCTCATTGTAATTTGAGCTTCAACTTAACGAACTGTGCGCACAGTGGCAGCCGCGAAAAAGGAGCAATAAACATCAAAGATTGATATCCTTGTTTCGATTTGTTTTGCTGCATATGCGTTTGATTGGGTGCTAATTGAGTGTTTATGAAATTTCAGGTCACAGAACAGAATTTCAGTTCTAGAAACCAACGAATCTTTTGTCCGAGTCAGTGAGAGCAGATCGCTATGGGAGCTTCAGGAAATTGCCTGGAGAAGGAAGAGCTTCTGACAGGTAGTTGAAATATTACAGATTTTTCAATTTGAATACAGAATTGACCTGACTATAGATTTCCCTGAGGGCATGTTGGGATCTGGGTACGATGAATTGAAGCCGGGAGCAGTTCCTAATATGGAGGAATCAAGGTATGAGCTTACTTCGTATGTGAACTAATGTTAAATTTGCCACAGCTTTTACGCCACTCTTGGTTTAACTGAAAGGAAAAGAAGAGGGCAGCTGGACGATTTTATCCGTGAGCGGGGGAAGAGGAACATAGGTACCCGTTGCATGTACCGCCGCATATCCATGGGAGATCGGCTGTCAGGAGTCTCGCTGCGCACTAATTAGTACCGTAAGCGGAGCCTGTGCTCGCAACATCACTAGCCCTGCCCTCAGTCCAGCGAGATGCGCGTACCTCTTAAGGGTCAACACTCCGTTGTCGGAATGCGCACGCCAGCAATGAAACATGATTTTGAAAGTACTAATGCGAATTGGAAGTTCAGAGTAAAAATTCAACGAATCGAGATGAAAACTTCCATCTAGGGGTTTGCTGAGTTGCTGGTTTCGAATATAGCAATCATTTTTTACCAAAATCAACCTTCTTTTAGAAACAAAGATTTTAATTGTCACTGTCATTTTACTGTCATATTAGAGACTAGCTCACCTATAACAAGCAAACGTACCTTCTTTTTCTCGGAATGATTGTTGAGATATGCAGCGGAAGTTTATTGACTTGGAGAAATATATGAAAAAAAAAACTGTTGCACAATTTTTAGCCTGCAGAACTGTCTCGCAGGTCAACACACAACCCGCA